CGGCACGCCAACTACGACTCTCGCCGACCCTATCTGCGGACACGACAGAAACTCGGCTCCCTTTTTCTCGAAAGGACTGCTCCACCTCGGAACCCCGTTGTTGAATCTCCTGCTCAGCAGGCCAACCTGTTCGTTAGAGTTCAAGCAATACGTTTTGTGTATTATTGCTATTGTCTGCGCTGCAATAAGACATAAAATTTATCATTTATCTAATTGGCCCTCTAGTCTACGCATCATTTCACACAGCGATCCGCACACGTAAAACAACCCCATCCCATAAAAATTTTTACTTACGGAAATAAACTGCAGTCTGACGAAAAGATTTTATGCTAAATTATTATCCTGAAATCTTGTAATTTTTGCACAATACTCAAAAAAATGGATAAAAAACGCCTGTTGCCTCCAGTTTGCCATTACTCACGAGGAACAGCTATACCTACTTAGGACAAACAATACTTGTGAGAATAACAGATTGGTTTTGAAGCTATAAAGCAGGAGAAAAAGAACAGAATAAGTAGGTGTCACCAAATGACGAGACATCTTTTCTAACATTCGAATAGTATCAACTACATTAGTGACATTCTTCAGTTCTTTCTTATCAGTTGTATTATATAACAAATACTATGCTTTTTGTAAAAAAATAACACCAATGGCCGGTGCAAAGATGCTGTTTTCGCACAGATTTCCGCAGGTTTTTGTTGCTAACGGCATTGTTTTTTCCGTAGATGCTTCTAGCTAAAAGACTTGGGACTGGTCACCACGACTGTCAGAAAACATTCCTTCAAAATTTCGGCTTTCCAGATATTTTGATATCCGAGTTATCTGCCAAAAATTTTCACGGGCCCGCACATGACAGGCACACACACACACTTCGGGTTGAATCTGAACTCATTAGGTTCTACGTGGACGGGGAACTGTTCTGAGCGCTGAAAACTTCATGAAGCACCCAACAGCATCATATTTTTCGAAGAACACAAATAACTGTATAAGAAACCTTTCAACCCAGGCGTCGTATTCGTAATCTTTACTCAAATTCGGAACATCCCTAAATATTCCGATATTACCAAGATGTTCTGAGTGGGCCAGCAGATCGCATCGATATATACTGTTTGACGGAAATGAGATCCGTGTTTTTAACTGAAATTTAAAAAAAAAATGCAACGAAGAAAAAAATCCTAGCTAGGTGGTGCATATTATCGTAATTCCTAGAACTGGCAACAACAGAATAATGCTCTACATGCACACATAAACACAAACAAAGAAATACACACAGACAAAAACATACACACAGACAAAGACAAACGCCCAGACTAAGACATACACACAGACAGAAAAAACATACACACAGACAAAGAAATACACACAGACAAAGACATATAAACAGACAAACACATACAACTGCCAGTTCAAAATACGTAATGGTGGAGGTAACGTCTTATAAAATGCATTTTCAACTTGTATTTTAACTTTCCTTTTTTGTTTTTCTTTTAACACACTGCATGCTACTTCCGCTGCAACCGTCACACTGACGAGGTCCAGTTGCAACACTGAATGGGAACGTATGCAACTTGATGGACCGAAACATTCCCATTCAGATTTTAATCTTATTTTATTCACATTCCCTTTTTTATTTCCCTACAATCTTTCACAAACATATACCAACTAAAATTAAAATTAAAACAGGGACAAAGACATACATCCGAACAAAGACATACACACAGACAAAGACATGCACACAGACAAAGACATGCACAGAGACAAAGACATACACTCAGATAAAGACATACACACAGGCAAAAACACACACACAGACAAAGACACACACAGACAGACAAAGACATACACACAGACAAAGATACACGGACACGCAGACAAATACATCGAAAACATTTCGAAATAACTAAGGGCTTGCGAAAATTTACTAAACAGATAATCTCTTCAGCGAAACGAAACGAACGTTAGGATCGCCAGTAGGCTAACCAACGGACGATGCAGTACTGGTCAAAGCAACTGGATAAGCTGCAGATTCTCCAGGTATCCCAGGCATAATGCAAAGATTAAAACGATGATTGCTATAAGCACGCAACTGAGAGGCTGAAATTTTGGGGCCATATTCCTCACCTATGTGTCACGCTCCTATTTTAAAATGTTCGCTCATGATCTAGAGTACGGACCCCCACCCTCCTCCCTCCCTTTCACCCAAAAAAAAAATGCAAATTTCTTTGGCGAGAAACGATTTCGTGAACCAGACAAAGCCATCCTGATCCGCAATTCTGCCACGAAAAAAAGACATGCAAATTTTTCTGGCGGGAAATGATTTCGCGAACATTAGACAAAGCTATCCTGATTCGCAATTCTGCCACAAAAAACATGCAAATTTCTCTGGCGGGAAACGATTTCGTGAACCAGACAAAGCCATTCTGATGTCCAATTCTGCCACAAAAAAAATATGTAAACTTCTTTAGCGGGAAACGATTTCGTGAACCGGACAAAGCTATCCTGATCTGCAATTCTGTCACAAAAAAGGAACATGTAAATTTCTTTGGCGGGAAACGATTTCGTGAACCAGAGAATTTCCGGTTTTTGAAGCTGCACCATGCTGAAATGTGGATGTGGTTGATTGTGAGGTTCAGCTGGGAGAGGGAAGCGTGGGGGACAGAGGTGGGGGAAATTAGCAAATCTGAGAAAGAGAAAAAAAACCCGGTACTAACCATAACTGTGCCTTGCCGGTCCACTTTTGTGGGCAGTAGCTCCGGTATTTCGGTGAATTCACCAACCGTAGAGCCATTCTCGAGGCTGAACACAATCCAGCTTCCCACCGATGGTATCGTTTCGTTGACCGTACTTGTACGTCTTCTGTCCACCAGTATTTCACGGTCAAGTTCTTTCGACCAAACATAGAACAACCCGTCTTTTGAGCCGGTAACAATGCCTTTACTTAGCATCTTGTTTAACCGTACCTGAGATTTTTTTTCTTTTGAAATTTGAAAAAATACGAAAAAAAAAAAAACAAAGTGCCAAAAGAATCACAGAAAAAAGCGCGGACTATGAAGCCGGCGTTTTTT